AGTTGAATATATAACCACATATAGTGAAAGGTGTATAAAGAAATGTCTCAACCCCCTTCAATAACCATATCTAAAGTGAACACAAAGAAATTAATCATGTGACATTTTTTTTACGAAAACAAAAATATTTATTAAACCACGAAAACAAAAATATTTATTAAACCTAAGTATAGTTTAGTAGTGTGACACGCTAACGTTATATTCATCCAAACGTAAAATAGGCTACGATTTTAATACAGCCAATACAGTTCATCCCTGTCCCCATCTCCCCCATACCAAATCTGAAAACAATCAAATTTGTCGTCGGTCGTCCTCAAAAACTCACCGGAGCTGTGCCCTTCAAATTCATGTTCACGTTTTGAGACCGTGTGCGAGGATAAGCAATTCCACAGTTCTGTGGATTTGCTTTTGTACGGAAAGTCGGAATTTTTATTCGGTTTTGTTTTTGATGAGTTTATGTTGATTCAGATCCGATGATATTTTCAAATGCGGCCCAGATCCTTGATTTCTTGATTTCTCGACAACCCATTGAAGCAATTTGTTTATAGATTATAGAATTTTAATCAGTCTCTCGACCTGTGTGAGTTTCGATTCGAGTTTAAGATTTCGACTCTGAAAAAGATGTCTGCGATGAAATCTTCGGGCCGGTTGTTCACAATCGGGCTGGTAACCGCGTGGTATTCGTCCAACATTGGGGTTTTGCTGCTGAACAAGTATCTGTTGAGCAATTACGGGTTCAAGTACCCGATTTTCCTAACAATGTGCCACATGACGGCGTGCTCGCTGCTGAGCTACGTTGCTATTGCGTGGATGAAGATGGTCCCGATGCAGACGATAAGATCTAGGGTTCAGTTCATGAAGATCTCGGCCCTCAGCTTGATTTTCTGCGCCTCGGTTGTGAGCGGCAATATCTCTCTCAAGTACTTGCCGGTTAGCTTCAATCAGGCGATCGGAGCCACCACGCCGTTTTTCACGGCTGTTTTTGCCTACTTGATGACTTTGAAAAGGGAAGCCTGGTTGACATACCTGACTTTGGTTCCGGTGGTTACAGGGGTCATCATTGCTAGTGGGGTATGCTTTCTGGTTCTTGTTCTAGTTAGCTTCGCAAATGGTGTGATTTGGTTTTTCTTTTCAATCGATTATTGGTCAGTAATGTTAAACTGGTGTCTTGGGGGTTGCTTGGGTTGTTTGAGAAGATGGGTTGTTATATGCAGGTTGTGAACTGTAGTGAAATTGTTAATTATGTTAAATTGGTTGTATGATCTAATGCTGTTTGTGTGAATCTTGATATTTTTGTGTCTTGGGATAAATTGATCAAATGAGTAGGAAATAGGAATACATGTGTTTTATGATTTTATTCTTGGGCTGTCAGGGTGAACCGAGTTTCCATTTGTTTGGATTTATCATGTGTGTTGGAGCAACTGCTGCGAGGGCACTGAAATCGGTGGTTCAGGGGATTTTACTTTCTTCCGAGGGGTAAGAGTGATATGTTTTTGTATGAATTTCGTATATTTTCTTCTATAATAGCTAAATGTGGCATAGTGTCTGAACATTTGTCATTTTCCTTTTTCTATTTTAAGGGAAAAACTGAATTCGATGAACCTGCTCTTATACATGGCTCCTATAGCTGTGGTATTACTACTTCCTGCAACCATTTACATGGAGGAAAATGTTGTCGGTATAACATTGGCCTTGGCAAGAGATGATAGCAGAATTATTTGGTTATTGTTGTTCAACTCTGCACTTGCCTACTTTGTAAACTTGACCAATTTTTTGGTCACCAAGCACACCAGTGCTCTAACTCTTCAGGTATTAATTTTTCTCCTTTTCTGTCCAAATATTTGTTCGTTTTAATTCCTTATTTTTACTCTGGCTAATCTGTAGTTTCTGGTTTGAGTTCAAATTTGCATAATTTAGATATTTATGGTCATATCTTACATAATATCAGTTTTGTCGCACATGTACGGTGACTACTGTGATCTAATATGTGTGAACAGATTAAAGTGCTTTAAAAGCTTAATTCCAGACACCCTATTCCGTTTGCCGTTCGTTAGACTCATTACTTTTAAACTTGTGTGTGGGATTTTTAGCATCTCACAAGTCACAACACGTGCGTCTTTGATGTAATTGCCATTGAATTTAACTGGTTAAGGTGAATAATTGGGTACCTTAAGAGTACATGAGAACAACATGCTACGACATTGTAAATGCAGAGGATATGCATGTTATATGTACATATAAAATACATATTTATATAATATTGTAAACATGACATATAAAGTAAATAGTTAAATTAAACCCAATATACATTTCAATCATAAACAACTAAGATTTCATAAATACTCGGATCCTAGATTTGATAAATTTCATAAACATGTGAAACGTGCTGAAAATATCTGCAACAGATCTTTCATTTGAAATCATTAACCCTGTCCTATCTTTTACGTATAAATGTAATTCTCTCTTTTCTTTAATTCTATTTTAAGCAGATAAAAATTCTCGCGTGCCTAAGTTTGATTCTGTCATGTATCGACGCCTTACTTTTACTTTTCTTTTAATTGGATATTTTATGAGTATGTATAGATATGTATATATGTAGGTGTGTTGTATCTGGTAAGTCTCTATACACTGCACCATCTCATAGAAGTCATGATACTTCCTAAATAATTTTCCTATGGATTCTTTTTTACTGAACAAAACTCTCTAGTTGAAAGAGAGAGGAAAAAATAAAATAGAATAAAATAAAATAAGCTCTATTTTGTTTCTCTTTTGTAAGCACTTGCATTTTTCTTTGTTATTTCAGGTGCTTGGAAATGCGAAGGGAGCAGTAGCAGTGGTAATCTCCATATTGATTTTCAGGAATCCCGTTTCTGTTACTGGAATGCTCGGGTATACTCTCACCGTTTTTGGTGTTATCCTCTATAGTGAAGCCAAAAAACGTAGTAAATGAAAGTTCCGATATTCGTCTACAACAGCTTATGAAGAACATGCGAAAGCCCGATTAATATTTTTTGCCCTAGTTTTTTTCGGAATCAGATAATGGTCTCCAGCATGCAACAGCAGAGAAAAAAACCTGATGAGTAGAGTAGAAACTTAAATAAGGTCTTGAAAAAAATCTTAAGTTCTTCCCAATTGTGGGTACTCAAAAGAAATATCCCTTTTTACTTGCCATATATATTTTTTCATAAGAGGATTTTGATCACAGATGTGATTATCATGTTTTTATATTGATCACAGATACACAAAGCACAAAATTTGTCAGTTACAGTTCTTAACCATCGTTAGTTGAGACGTGTTATGTTTTCTTCTTTACTCTGGTTTATTCATTGGCGTCTGATCAAGTTTACCATGTGTTTGTTTTTACTGAACGATATTATGACATTAGAATGAGGACAAGTTTGAGTCCCTTTCGATTTAAAGTTCCAGGTGAGATTCTATTGGTGAGAAGTACATGGTTCGATATATTTCATATGAAATATTTCAAATTTTGTTGAGCTTGCTTGAATGTTTTTTGTAGTGTAACAGATTTTAGTCTAACAAAAATGCAGATTTTTGGATTAGTGAATTATCGTTCGAGTTTTGATGCTAAAGCTAATAGTTTTTAATTTTTTTTAAAGAAAACATCTACAATCATTGTAGCTAGGGCTGCAAACGAACCGATCCGAGTCGAGTATTGACCTTATCGAGTATGGATTGATTTTTTTTTTCACACTGCTCGAGCTCGAGCTCGTCGAGCCTTAGTTTTTGAGGCTCGACTCGACTCGTCAGAAGAACTAGATTACTCGAGCTCGGCTCGAGATTACTCGAATTCTTAGGCTCGAAAAATTGCTCGAGTTCGGCTCGAAAAATTGCTCGAATTCAGCTCGAAAAAACTTCAATCACACTAAACATGGACCAACTATTTACTACAAAAAGATGCCCAACAACAACATTAAATGTACTAACACTTTCACAGCCCAAAAATACTTGACAAAACAGAGTACAATGCAATTCATACAATTCACTTCCCTACTACATCATCCAATTCATCCAATACTTAACTTTCACCACCATAATTCACTCCATCATCAAATTCATTTCCCTGCTCCCAAAAACAAAGTACAATGTAAAATGAGTAAAATGAGCAATAACCAATAAATTCCCAAGAGTTCATAATCTAAATTATCCAACAGAATAACCAACAAATGTCCAAGATTTCATAATTCAAATTAGCCCAACAAGTTATACACATTAAAAACTTAGTAGTTGGAAGTTGAAACTTTCAAAATGACAATAAACATTAAACATCCATATCTAGCACTCGATCACTTTTAGACCTTCCTCTTCAGTCTTCAGCAATCAGCATGTAGAGGTCCAAGTCCAACACCTAGAAATATTCAAGTTCCATCAGAAATGTATTTCGAATGACACATTATATTCAAATCAGAAAAGTATCTAAAAGATTATAATTTTTTTTTTTCTGAAACGACAGAAAAACTCAAATAAAATAATCGTTTTACAAACCGGAGAACCGACTG